TAGAGAAGAGTAGAGAAGAGTAGAGAAGAGAAGAGAAAATAGAAAGTAGAAAAAATAGAATATAGAAAACAGAAAAGATAGGATAGGATAGGATAGGATAGGATAGGATAGGATAACAGAGTTGGAAGGGACCTTGGAGGTCTTCTAGTCCAACCCCCTGTTTAGGCAGGAAACCCTATACGTAGCACCCTCTCCGTGGGCACATAAGCCATCTCCCCAGTTCAGCTGTGCTGCTCATGCACCTCCCACCGGCCAGCTGGTGTTCAGGTCTCTGCTGCGCATGCAGGGTGTGGGGTGTATGTGGGGGGAGGAGTACACATGCATGCGGGCGGCGGGGGCACCTGCAGGGGACATGCATGCATGCACGGGGGGCCATGCACACCCTGAATTTTGGGGCTTCGCACTCGCTTTGGGTACTCAGTCTGGACAAGGTTAGCTCACACCGCCCTATACCATTTCAGACAATCTCGTCTTAAAAACTTCCACTATTGGAGCAGTCACAACCTCTGGAGGCAAGCTGTTCCACTGATGAATTGTTCTAACGGTCAGGGATTTTCTCCTTAGTTCTAAGTTGCTTCTCTCCTTGTTTAGTTTCCACCCATTGCTCCTTGTTCTACCCTCAAGTGCCTTGGAGAGTAGCTTGACTCCCTCTTCTTTGTGGCAGCTCCTGCATGCTTTGCTTTTCTCAGGTAGACACGGAAGTATGATTTATTTCTTGTTCATCGTATGATCCCTGGCATGGGATACATTGTGAATAAGAGAGAGACATCTGGCTGGCCCAGTAAACTGTCCAGCCACCCACTAGTTCCTCTGAGAAACAGACCTTTCAGAAAAAGGGGGAAATGATATACGCTCGTGTTTAACGGGGCATACCTGTTTACATTCAGATTCTGAAATCCAGCCAGCACCGCTGAAGTATGTTGACGCTTCAAACGGTCCTCCATTTCTCTACCTGAAGGATGGTTTTGTTGGTCTGCCCCAGGGGTGGGGAAAGATATTTCCTTCTAACAGCTGTATCAATAACCACCACTGCCCCAACTTGGAAATGCAGATTGTTGTATCCGATTCCACCCTGCTAAACAAATTTAGTTTAGTTTACTTTATTTGCACCTCGTACAATGAAATTAAATGCCATTTTCAGATGTCCCATTAGAACTATATAAAATAAAACACAAAGACACGTCCTTCGCATTCTTTACAATTGAATTGAAAACTCCTGATGTTGCATTAGTATTGCACTGTACAGTAGAATTCAATATAGTTACTGTCCTGGGATAGAAGCTGGTTTTCTGTTTTTTCAGCCTATTTGTCCTTGTTTTTATTGTCCTGTACCGGGTGCCAGATGGTAATAGATTAAAAAAAAAAGGGGGTGTCCTGGATGAGATGGATCTTTAAGGATGTTTTGAACTTTCTTAAAGCAGCAGGAGCTATAAAGCTCTTCCAAAGAGGGGAGAGGGCAACCAATGATCCTCTGGACAATGACGTTGACCTTATTGTATTGTATTTATTGTATTTATTTGGTTTGTATGCCGCCCAATCTCGGAAGACTCGGGGTGGCTTACAGGTAAAACGGCAAGGGGAGGACCAGGGGTGGGTTTCAACCGGTTCGCGGCGGTCCCCGCGAACCGGTTGGCTGGCGAACCCGGACGTAAGTAACTTCCGGGAACGGCGAAGGGCCCACCNAGCTTGCAAATAGCAAATAGCAAAACTAACTACTAGCCAAGTGTATTTTCACCATTGGTTTCAGTGGCCATCGAAGGGGGCTGGTTGCAATTCCAGATGCTTCTCTTTCCCTTGCAGCTGTTTCTGCCTCTGTAAAGCCTTACAGCAACTTTTGGGCATGTTCTTAGCTAGAGCTGCGTAGATGAATGGGTGGATGCAGACATGGAAGTTCACTAGGATCCTAGTGATTTGGTAAGTGATGTAAATGGTCTTGTTCCTGTTGTCCTTCGCCCGATAATAAAAATTCAAATTGCGAAAGATGTGAAAGGGCCAGTAAAAGAGGGCATAAAGGAGCACAACCGTGGAAATCAGGATCATCACTTTGCACTTTTCATCCCTGGTGGTACCATGGCTGCGCCTAACCGCGCAAACGATGGCCACGCAGGAAAAGAGGGTCAGGACGAAAGGCAGCCCACAGCCCACAGCGAGGAGGAACCAGCTGTAGGGTTGATACGCGGGCAATTCCGACTTAGTAGCGCTTCCGAGGCAGAGAGTTGCGTTACCGTTAGGATTCAGGGTGGTGAAATGAAGGACAGGGGCCGAGATGGCTATCGCGAGCAACCACATCACCCCGCTGGCAATTTTGGCGTGGAAGGGTTCGACGCGCTCACGGGCAAAGAAGGGATGGACGACGGCGATGTAGCGGTTCAGGCTGATGCAAGCGATGAAGAAGGTGCTGCCGTACAAGTTGACGAAGAAGACGAAGCGATCCAACTTGCACAAAAGGCAGCCGTAACTCCAGTTCTTGGGGGGGAAGTAGTAACTAGCCAAGGGCAATAAGGAGATGGCATAGAACAGGTCAGAGAGTGCCAGGTTGAAGGAGAAGATCGTGCCTGGGTGCCAGGTGCGTTCCCAAGCCACAAAGTGGTAGATTGTAAAGCCGTTCCCCAAAACTGCGAAAATGAACTGGAGAACTATGACGACCCACAATTTCTCTTGGAAGTAGTCCAGGTCTTCTGTCCCAGTCTCCATCCTAGATAAAGCAGGATAAAGGAGGTGAGAGGCTTCCAAGACTACCTGTTGACTACACCAGAGGTGGGTTCCTACCGGTTCGCACCAGTTCGGTAGAAACCGGTTCGTCAAAATCTACC